AAACGGATGTCACAAATTGTTTAGTCTAGATGATTAAATCCCTATTACAAGTAATATATTTATTCTTCGGGATAAGTGTATTGCTTGTAGTATTGTATTAAATTATCTAAACTATTTGAAAATGTGAGACTCGTTTGGTCTCACTTATTTTAAAAATTAAAAAATGTTACTTCTTTAAAAAAAGTTATATTTATATTTAAATTATTTTCAAAATCACAAAATCATCACCTTTTCAAACTACGAAAAAGAAAGTTGAAAAAAAAAACGGCCGACACATAATTATAAAAATTATTAATTTAGAGGCAAGAAATTTTTAGATTATTGAATATTTGGGCTCTTTGGAGGGATTACTTGCTAGAATCAATTATCCTGATAATAATTGATAAATTGCCTATTAAGTTTATCACATCTTATAGTAGAAATTAGAAATGATGTAGAACTACTTAATTCATAGACACTCGAGGATACTTTTCATCATGCACGAGTGATTAAAATCTAAAGAAAATTAGTACCAACTTTTTGACCTATTTGACAATTCACTTCCTTCTACTCTAGAAGGTCTACCTTTAGACACAATTCACTCTTGTCAATGCATCGACTACTATGACCCCCATTGATGGTAGTGTTGGAAATACTAAGGAGATGTCAATTTTAAGTGTAATAAAAAATGACAAACAAAATTAATCTAAGGCAAAAAATTACTTTTAGATGAGGATGATAACTTAGAAAAGTTCTATAATGATACACTATTATTTAGTGAATAAATGAGAAGATTACAATCAAATTAGTGTGATGCGAGGCCTAACGATAACTACATATATTTCTGAGTATTGTTTAAGAACAATTTTAGCATCTATGTGACAAGAAGAGGCATATTTTAGTAATTGGCAATGGTAGAGCCACAAATATCATCTCTACTCATGTACTTACAAAGAGAAATTTACAAGTTGAACCAATTCCGTGTCTTTTAATTCAATCATCTTCCAACAAATTTAAACCACCTTCTAACATTAACTAAAATTTAGCCATCTGCCAAGCATCTAATAGTGATAGCATAGAAATATGGTCACCCAATTTAAAATGCGGGGTTACGGACATTTTCTAGTTTAAATTTAAAGGGTTTGCTCTATTCAAGGTGTGGTTTAAGGCCATTCTTAACTTCAAAGCTTAAGCTATTGACCCCTAGTTCTCTCCTTTTGATTTTAAACTTATTTTTAGCTTATTTTTAGCTTGTTTTTACGCTCTATATTATCTATTAATTGTTCTCTACTATTATAGATAACTTATTTTGCTCAAAATTTCATTGATAAGTTGTCTTTCTCTTGGTATGCAAGCTTGGTGGTTGAAACCTTAATCCTTTGACAATGAGGATTTTGTTATTTGTTTTAATATTTTCTTGCTTACATTCTAGTTTTATTGATTCCTTTCGTTCTCTACGAAACCCTAAAGCACATCCCTAAACCCTATTTACCTTTTTGTCATTATTATAAAACTAAAATCTTTGTTTTTTTAAACTCTTAGGTTTTTGCTAAAGCCTAAAATATAATTCTACAATAACCTCTCTTATTTCCTTTCTTCTATATCCCTAACATCTTATAAATCCTAATCACTTAATAACCTCTCTACACCTTGAAAGTATGCCCTTAATATCCCAAGTAAATCCTTCCTATATGACCCCTCTTGAACAACTCAAATGACCATCTAAACCTTAACTATGGTTGCGCCATTTCCCTTTCAAAGGCCTTCCCTCATCCCATTTATTTCATAACAAAAGGAAAGCAAGTCCACCTGCCACAAAACACCTATGCTAATGAGCCACTACTTTTGAGTTTTCTCTTATACAGATTGAGGAGATCCATGAAAGAAAGAGATGGTTATTTTCCTAGTGATAGTTGTGTGACCCGACCTACAATCACGCAAATATTTATTTTTCTTAATATGCCAAAAACTTGACCCAAATTATATTTAGCGGCTAATGCGAACAAATATAATATCATAAAAATTAAAGAAATAGTTTTCTCACTAGGGTACAACGCAAATATTCTTATCGTTTTAAGTAATATAGAGTTTTCTTTTAAAGTATCGATCACACGGGGAAGACGTAAACGAAAAACAATGAAATGAAATACAGGAATTTTAACTTTAAGAGAACTTTACTTAAGACTATAGTAAATATCTGAAGATGAAAATTAAGTTTACTAAATTCTACAAAATGCAATAAAAGTAAATGAAATGACTTAGACAATACATAAAAAAAGACAAAAGTAAATGAAATGACTTAGACAATACATAAAAAGAGACTTTTTTTAGGAGCATGTTTATTCATTACTTTCTTTTGAATTGTGCAACGAACATTAACTAATCTAAAGTTGGTGTAGGCATGTATAGTAGTGTTGGACAGGTTCTAGTCTCTCACTCCTAGATTACTCACTGTCTCCTCTCTAAAGGACCTACCAGTGACCCTTAGTTCCAATCTTTTGACCAAATTGATAAAAGAATTTAGTCTGTCACTCTAGAAACATCAATTATACACCCATCAAATCTTATTTCCCTATTTATTTGCACTCCCTTTCGGACGATCACGACTGCTCTTTCCAAGGTAGAATGTGATACTTACAAGTTAAGAAATATTAGCCCTCTCGAGTTTATAAGTTTCCTCAACAAATTTTAACAATACAAGTGGTCAATTTGTAAAGTAAATGAAGATCCGATAAAAATATCATCACAATTTTTAGGAATAAAAGAAGTTCTAAACAAAATCAAAATCACTTACTTAATTACTTCATATTACAAGGAGAAAGAGAGAAAACTACTCAAAATGCATGTGGATAACAAAACAAAACATATTTATAAAATTCAAATTCAAAGTACAAAACTTAAAGACAAAGATACCAATACTTCCTGAATGTTCCATCAAACACTCCTTTGAAGTTCTCTGACTTCTCTGACTCCAACAACACTTACAAGACTCACAAACTCTAGAAATAACAAAGATTAAGAAAGAAAACTTCTCACACACTCACACACTATGAGACTCTATAGATCCGACTCTCCTAGCCTTTTGGAATTAATCCATATTTATAGAGTTTCGAAAATGACCAAGGGTTGCTTCAGACATCTCTTCAAAATTCGGCCCCATTCAATGAATCTTCTAAAAAATAACCATGACGCCTAGGCGCCAGTTCGGCTGGTTTGGTATTTTTCTTTAGTTTAGCCCATTCTGCTCACCTAGGCGCTAGCTTAAATGTATTTTTGCTTATTTTTACTCTTAAACTCTTTTTCTTGCACCAAGAACAAAAAACATAAAAATATCTTTCATTAAAACATAATATCCTAAAAAATTGAGCATAAAATGTGCATAAAAAATAAGGAATTTTAAGGTGGATCATTATGCATGCTAAACATAAAATTTTATTAATGAAAAATATTTCAGCCTCATTCTTACTTATGGCCAAATTATTTTATAATTTTTTTTTATTTTTTTTATTTTAGCTGTTTCTTAGGTTTTATATTTTATTAGAGAAGATTATGTTTAAATTTGAACATATTTTTGATTTGGATAAGATCAGATTTGTATTTTAAGATTTGGTCATAGCATTTTAATCCTATTTTCTATAAATGTGAGTCTATAATGTGATTGAATTATTATTGTTTGATGATTGAATAAATGTGAATTATTGTGGTCTATGAGTGCCCTTCAAATGCAAGTTGGACGGTGGAATTATTTCTCCACTTAAACTTTAGGCCATCATCATTTCTTACCATAAGGTCGTCATATTTATATATGTTTTATTTGAAAAAATGAAAGTTAAACTCGTACTAAAAAAGAAAAAAAAATTGAATTAAAAACCGTTTTATGTTTCTTTATCTCATTCACACATCTTACTTTTTTTTAATGAATATAAACATTGGGTCTGCATTGTTCCCAGTGCTCATATCTTTTGTGTGGCTGTCATGTTATTCTAAGCCGGCTTGTCATTTGTTTAGTCATGTCAAGTCAAAGTGGGTACACTTTCAATTATTATTATTCTTATTTTTGGGGAAGTCTCTCTTGCTGTGTGCTTCAAGGGAGAATATGCGTGTTCATATGATGGTTTTATGATCCAAAAGATGCTTTAAGAAGAAGGAAATTTACATAAATACCACCCAAGTTTTATGCATTTACATTTGTAAAACCAAAGTTTAATATTTAACACTCATAACACCTCGACGTCATAAATCTATGCTTGACCCTTCAAAAGATAGTGATGATGGTATTTTTGATGTGATGTTAACCATATTAATGTTATGCATGTAAATATGAATCTTTAGGTGTTAGATATGTAAGTACAAAAGAGTTGTGCGGTCTGTATGTATATGCCCCTAAAAAGAAAATTACAAAGTAACTTCAGCTGTTTTGTTGCCCTAAAGTGTCAGTGCTCTATAAAATGCAGCATTTAAACCTGAAAGCCCCTGATATATCTTTTTTCTTTTTCTGGATGGTTTATTTTGCTGAACAAGCTAGTTTGCTTAGAAATATTTTGTGATAACTTTTCCTGGATGTATTTTATCGTTGTTCTCCATAGTCTGTACAATGTACCGTGCTTACTGGTGTAGTGTTGTCCGGTAACATGTTTTTTAATTATAAAACAGCTTCTTATGATTCAGGCTAATCTCACGGTTCTTCATTGGAAAATAAAAGTTGAAATAGATGTTAATTTCGTTGACACCTTTTTTATAATAGTGGTTTTTACATACATATGAATTTGCATACTTAACATCTAAATTTTACATTTTATATTTGTACCACTCCAATCTTTCATATCTAAAAAAGAATAGCACCATTTTTAACTTTAAAGAAGTGAAATACACGTTTTCTTGCATAGGCAAGGTGGTGTGCATGTAAAAATTGAAGTTTTGGTTTTAGATATGTAAATACATAGGAAAATGTAATTCTTCCTTTATATTATATTAATACAATTATTCACTTGTTTAGTAAATGACTCTTCCTTTATATTATATTAATACAATTATTCACTTTAGTAAATGATGAGTGATGTTTACTTTAACGTGCATTGATTTCTCAGATGGGTGGCAAATCATTACAAGTGGATTGTTTGGAAGCTTGCATGCCTAGAAAGGAGCTATCCAAATAAAGCCATTGGAAAGCTTTTGACAGTTTGTAATGTGCTCGAGGAATTGAAATACAGGCAAAAGACATAGAACTTGATCTTTTATATCTTGCCACCTTTAGGGTTGTAAATGAGCCGAGCTTGAGCGAGCTCAATGCTTATATGTGTTCGGTTGTTTGAATTTTTTTTTTTTGGTTTAAAATAGGCTCTTGTTCTAAATGGCTCATGAATAACATCTTTTTGTTTGGCTCAATTCATATTCATTTGTTTGTTTCAACTTGAAATTGGTTCGAATGATTTAATAAATAACAAAATTTAACTCTTTTTAAATATAACTTAACCAATCAATGTAAAATCTTATAATAATATTATTTATTTAAACATTTAATTAATTCAAGCCAAAATGAGTTGAATATGATTGATTAAAAGTTAATCATGTTCGGTTTGTAAATCAAGCAAAAAAAAATTGTTTGTGCTCAGTTCACTTGATTAATGAACGAATCTGAAATGAGTTGCTTAGCGAGCCGAACCCCAATTGTTCGTGAACTATGAGCTTTTTTGACAGTCCTAGTAAAGTTTGAGACTTGATATGTGATATTAATTCTGAGCTTATTTTGTCTGTCAGATATGAAAGAGAAGTCAATTATGGACACAAATCGACAATTAAGAAGATACTTGATGGTGATGTGTCACCTTCATCGATGATGATTCTCTGTGTTTCGGCAATCCATTCTTATTTGGGTTCAAGGAATGATGAAGTGTTTGTTTCATTTGATTTACATGGCAATCATAGGAATCCTATTGGTATTGGCAGTAATCATTTATTTAAACATTTAATTAATTCAAGCCAAAATGAATTGAATATGATTGATTAAAAGTTAATCATGTTTGGTTTGCAAATCAAGCAAAAAAAATTATTTGTGTTCATTTCACTTGATTAATGAACGAATCTGAAATGAGTTGCTTAGCGAGCCGAACCCCAATTGTTCGTGAACTATGAGCTTTTTTGACAGTCCTAGTAAAGTTTGAGACTTGATATGTGATATTAATTCTGAGCTTATTTTGTCTGTCAGATATGAAAGAGAAGTCAATTATGGACACAAATCGACAATTAAGAAGATACTTGATGGTGATGTGTCACCTTCATCGATGATGATTCTCTGTGTTTCGGCAATCCATTCTTATTCGGGTTCAAGGAATGATGAAGTGCTTGTTTCATTTGATTTACATGGCAATCAAAGGAATCCTATTGGTATTGGCAGTAATCATGCCGCGAAGATAGAACTAACTGATGGGTGGTATATCCTCATGTTTTGATGGATATGGAGAAAAGTGTTAAAATAGTCCCCAAAGCTTTCTAAGAGGTCATTTTGGTCCTCGAGTTAATAAAAGTGTCAATTTAGTCCACATTTTCTTAATGATGGCTAAAATAGTCTCTATGGATGACTATTTCGGTACATATTAAAAGAATATGGGGTTTAATTTTGTATTTTTCTGACTCTTGAACTAAATGGACTCCATATAAATAGTCAAGTGACTATTTTGGCAATTTACTCTATGGATATGTTAAATTCTTGGGTTTGATATTTTTCTTCGCATTTGGCAGGTACTCGCTTGATGCCACCTTAGATGGACATCTATCGAAACAACTGCTTGCTGGAAAGTTGTTTGTAGGCCAAAAACTTAGAGTATGATCAGCCTTTCTCTCCCTCTCTACCTTGTTCTTGAATCATTTTGCTACTTTAGAATCTTGGTTATTGAGAAAAATGTCAATATGGTCTCCTGACTCTTTTTAGACGTTCGTTTTAGTCCCATAATTGATACATGTGTCAAATTAGTCTCCAAAATTTTTAATGGGGGCTAAAATTAATGAGGACTCTGGGACAAAAATAACCCTATGTAAACCCAAAATTTTTAATGGGGGCTAAAATTAATGAGGACAAAAATAACCCTATGTAAAAAGTCAGGGGACTATTTTGACACTTCACTTATTGCTCATTCATACTGCCTCTTTATTTTAATTTTAGGTTTGTGGAGCTGCTTTTTGTGGTTGGGTTGAACCTATTTCACCACTTGAGGTCCAGATCTCTTATTAATATAATTTATAAATAAAAATGGATCTTGAGGCCTAGCATGATGATTCCTCTTGTTTCCAGGCATCAAACTCGGTCAGTTTAGTCCTGCATATTAATGGAACGTACCGAGCACATTGGGCTGACTCATTAGGATTCAGTACTGGCTTTCATCTCTTATGCTTTTTAGTAGTATCTTTCAGCATTATTTGGCAAGAAATGTGTCAACATGGTCCCATAACTCTTTATATGGGCCATTTTAGCGCCAAAGTTTACAAAAATGTTAATTGTCTCTAGAGTCTTTTAATATGAGTTGAAATAGTTCTTAGTAAGTACTATTTAAGCCTATATTAAAAGAGTCTAGGGGTTAATTTAGCACTTTTATAAACTTTGGGATTAAAATGTTCCCATATAAGTAGTCAGGGGACTATTCTGGCGCTTTACTCATTATTTGCTATATAGGTTCCTTCATATCTTTTGCTATCCCTTATACATAAAATGTGCTTTCAGGTAGAGGCATTGGAGCTCCTTTGGCTTTTAGGTGCATCAAAAATGGCGGGGGTAAAATTCCTAAGACATTAGTTGGTGTTACTCGACTCTATCCCGTCTTGTACAAGGAGAGGTAAACTAATGATTGCTTTTTCTGGTGATTTTTAAATAAACTGACTAATTTCTATATAAAAAGTAATTTATTGATCAGATTACAGGGTGGTGGTTCTATTGTGAGGTCAGAAAGTCTGGAAAAGAAAATACTTGAGCTTAACAATAGGAGGTAATTTGCTTCTGGGCTTGACTTTCTGTAAGACATCTTGTTTTAGAAAATTTGAAGGGAAATTTGCATGCTCAGCACACAGTTCTTAAGTATTTACATATTGCATACCTAAAATTTCATATTCACATACATAGCATTTTGCTGTTTTATATTGCATACCTAAAATTTCATATTCACATACATAACATTTTGTTGTTTTAAACTATGCATGGAAAGGCGTATTTCACTTTTAAAATGTGATAATAGTGCTATTTTAAATGTACTATTACAGATTTGAGTGCTGTGTGTGTAAATATGAAAGCTTTGGAGTGAGATATGTAAATACGTAAGAATTGTGTGCTATATATGCAAACACACCAAATTTGAAGCCGGGATATGACTGACGCTGATAAAGTTGATGATGAGTTTGTATTATATATTGGACCCGATATATTTTTTTTATTTATTCCCGATATATTATTTTTATTTATATGTTCTTGTTTTTCTGTTCGTCATAATGGCACTTCCTTGAATTTATTTCCTTGTTAATTGAAATAGATATTTATGCTTTCAGTTCATATCTATATTAACTTAGATAACTAGTTTCGCTGAGATTGTTGTGATGCCAAATTTTAGTACTATCCAGAAGCTTACGTGCATTCCAACTTTTATTCCGACATCTGTTTGTTCACTATATGAATTATGGAAGATTGCCTATTTCTTCTTCTTGCAACTGAAAATCACATGCGGCATAGGATTTGTTGGTCTTTGTGGTATGTAAAATAGTCACATTTCCATATAGGGGCATTTGCATACATAGCGCCTAGTTCCTATGTATTTACAAATTTAACACCTAGTTTTCTCTTTTTATACCTTTCATATAAAATAAAAAATACCACCATTTTAACTTTGAAAATGTGAAATACACCTTTTCATGCATCGGCAGTTGAGATATATGTAAAAATTGAAATGCAGGTGTTAGATATGTAAATACATAGGTATTAAGTGGTATGTATGTAAATTTTACTTCCATAATATAAGGCGCTAGAGCATGAAATGATTATTATTTCTAAAAGAATACCTCGAGGTTGTTGAAATTGTGATTGCCAATGGGATGGGGGAATATTCACAATTTTTTTGGGTTCACTATGCACATTTCAGCCATGGATGCATATTTAATCATGTCGATGATATGGGACTGATGGATCTTTGTCTACAAAGCCTTTATTGTATCTTCTCCTTCAGTTTGGGTTTTTGGAGTTGTTTGTTGTGCAAATCGTTCTTATATTAAATGGTATCGTAGCAGCTTATGCTTTTGCCGATGTTCCCAAGAGGGAGAGAATGATAGAGAAGATATTATAATAGGGATTTCTGTGTCATGGGTTGGATGGATTCACCATACACATAGGTTTGGTTTTGGTCGGACCTTTAGCCATGAAACATTGGTTGCGCCTTCTCCAACACTAAGATTTTGGAGTAGTTATGTAAAGGTATCCTATGTTGAAGTGTTGGCTGTTGCTCATTTATAAGAATTAAAATCTGCTAGAAAGCTCTATTTTTAATTAAGAAATAAATAAAAAGAGTAATTAATTGTGAGCTGCAAAAATTCAGGCCTTTGCTTCTCTTGAAATGAATGAGAGTTTTAAGTGTGCTTCAGGCCAAGCTTTTAGAAAATTTTTAAGTGTGCTTCAGATTGGATAGAAGATAAGCTACTATCCAGATATTTCATCCTCATTTTGTGAGGATTTTACATCTGAGATGCAAGGCCCCATAAACACAAGCTTCTATGGTTAAATTTCCCTCATGGTAGTTGGCGAGAGAACAATTTTGATTAAAACTGGTCATTAAGGTGTTGATTGCTCAGCATATTAGTCGCAATAACTTAAAGTTTTAGATTGTAAAAATTTATTATCGTGGTCTTTAGAGCAGATGATGGGGGAATGGTGACAAATCAATCACAATCTTATGGTTTCATCATTCTGGGTTGTTATGTTCCATCATCTATTAATTTATAGGAGATAGTCGACCCAACTTGACATAATTATTCTTGTCAGCAATCATGACTTGCTTTGTCCAAGAAAACCTTCTAGATTTGTGGTTAATGTTTATTTAAGTGCACTTATTTAAATTAACACTGGCTTACATAAGACCTTACACAATATGAAATATACCTTATGATTCTTTGCTCAAATAAGTAAAGCCATCGTGGAATATACACATTGTGACTTTAATATAATGGAGCATGGGCAAACTACATAGTCTGAGAGTTCTGGTCGTAATTGCTTCATTTGTAGAACCAATTAGCCAAACTACGTAGACATAAGACTTGAGCCACGTCCTTATTACAATAGATTGTTTTGAGTATGAATATAATAGTATATTTGAAATGTCATTCATTTTTTGGGGGCTTGAGTTAACTTTACCTTTGTTATTCTCGATAAACGATCATCGATGGTGGTTGCATAAATTTTGATTTTAAGTATTAGTGATAGTCTTTTATTTGTTATTGATGACTTAGATTTTGAAAATGGAACCATGATTAGAGTGTAATTGAACAATGTTTGAAATGTTTTCTTTTGTTATTTACTTAATTTACTATTTAAATACATTGATAACATCGGTTCTGTTGACTACTCGTGAAGATCAGATTGGCGAAGTGGGGAGTCAGCCTTTTCAAACACGTCTGTGCTTGTGAGGAGTATCATACTGATCAAGGAGTGATTTACAATTATGTACTATAGACAAGGTAAACCGCTCGTGGGTGTGCATCTTTGAATGATGTTGAAATTGATTTTTTTAGGGAAATTTTTGCAAAATTTTGATGATTTGCATGCTTAACGGAACAGAAACAAAATTGAGTTAATTTCATTTTTAACCATTTTAGCATTCTCGGATGTAGTTTTGTGTGTTCTACAAGTTGTTCTCAGCTCATGTAGGTGTTTAGAGTTTAATTTAAGCTAGCCCGTGCAGTATTGTTAGATCTTATGATTGTGGGTTTAGTGCATTAGTTGAAGTATATGCGGGTGTCTAGAGTTTATTTTATGCTAGCTCGCACAACTTCTTTTATCTCACAATGAAGTATTAAACATATTGATTGGATCACACATTTGCGTGATTAGAACTTATGTTATGCTTGGTCATGCAACAGTTTCAAATCTCACAATTGAGCATTTGTCATGTTGGTCGGAGCATATGCATGTATCTCAGTGCTCTTATACAATTCAGATGAATGAATTTTGGTGGTTTGTAAGGTTCATTTTCACCTATATCAGAGCATTGTGAGTGTTATCAAATGATGCGTTCGTAGATCTCGAAAATATTCAATTCAATCATTATAAATTTTTTTGGTTGCTTGCACAAATTTTTTACGCAAGATATCTGGGTTGATAAACGTCTCACAAAATGTGTGAAAGACTTGAAATTATCTATATTTGATTAATTATATGAATAATTCATTGTTAAAATGCATACAATCTTTCATTTAATTTTAAAAGGTTCGTGTTCCGTATGCTAGTGGCCCTCTTTGGGCATTTTTCAAAGTTTTTGTCTAGGGCGATGCCTTTGTTGTCATTTGTTGCCCTCGACACATTGATTATGTCTCCAAGTGGAGCATTTATGGAGGTCAAATGACATTAATAAACTACAATCGAAGTTGAAGCAATGCAGCAATCCTCAGACCTCATTTGGCAGATGAAACTAGTAGGATTCCCCTTCTCATGTACCTCTTCAATTTGGATATTTAAAACATGGTAATGATAAAGAAATGATTATTTTTGGCACATTTGTTTTTCATGAGACAGCCATATGCTCCTTCTATGCTTTTTATCTTTGGAAGATTTGCTTACATACCACTCAAATCCTAAGTTTACGTATTTTAAGCCTAAGCTTTAATTTTTACATACATGCTACCTTACGTATGCATGAAATGGTGCATTTCACCTTTTAAAAGTTAAAATGACAGTAATTTTGATGTGATATGAATTATTTGGGTGGTATAAATGTAAAAAAGTAAAGTTGGTTTGAGATATGCAAATATATTGGAATTCATCAGTATGCATGTAAATGTGTCCCTTTATCTTTTCACTACTTGATAAATTCATTTGGTTATAGGCGAAGTGATATTGTTGAAGATATTATATCTGAGGTGGATGATGCTTTATTAAATCTTAATGAAAGCGAAGAGGGAGCAAAACTTCTTAGGATTCTTGAAACTTCTGCTGAGCCTGAAGTCCTAATGGCAGGAATGAGTTTGGAGCAACTTAATTCCTTCTCAAATTATCAGGCAAAACAGGAGGTAAGCTTTATTTATTCTACTTAACTAAGTTCAGCAGAAATGTGAGTCGACAAAAATGCAGTTTTTATTTAGGAGCATTTATAGACATACCACCCAATTCCTATGTATTTACATATCTAGCACCTAAACTTTACTTTTTTACAATTTTACCCCTCAAATCTTTTATATCACATAAAAAATACCACCTTTTAACTTTTAAAAAGCGAAATACACCTTTTCATGCATAGGTATGGTGGGATCCATGTAAAAATTGATGTTAGATAAATAAATACATTGGAATTAAGTGGCATGTATGTAAATCTTCCTTTTATTTAATCTTCAGGCATTGAGGCAAGCCAATTTGTATAAGAAGATTGAGAAAGCTTTGGAAGAAGCCGGTCTTGGTTCGAGAGATGTTTCTCCTTTTATGAGGGTGAGAGCTAGCGGCTTGACTAGTATCGATTCATGTAGGAAGGGAAGGCCATGGGAAGGCTTGATAACAATCTGGAATCCTACTGAGAGGCAGGTAAGCTTAGGTTCTTTTTGCTCTTTTAATTGAATCTAACATACCTATAAAAATATTACATACATACCAACTAATTTTTATGTATTTACATATCAAATGTATAAACCTTGCTTTTTACATTTATACCAATCAAATGTTTTATATAACATAAAAAATATCATTTTTTTATATTTGAAATGTAAAACAAACATTTTCATGCACAATAAAGGTAGCTTTTCAAGCATAGTTAAGGTGGCATTTATATGTAAAAATTGAATTTTATGTGTTAGATATGTAAATACAGTATTGAGTGGTATGTATGTGAATCTGCCTAAACGAAAAATGCTAGAAATACTTTATGTTGGTTAAATGGCATATTTGGTGGGCTCTATCTTACATTCAAGTTTTGGACTGGATAGGTCATAGGTGCCTTTGAGTTTCACTAAGATTTACTTTCTGACTCGCTGGTCTTGAAGTTATACACATGCCTATCTTCTTCACGCTAATAGGAACACCGAAAGGCACGAACATATGCGCTTGTGGGTTCATGTTCTTGCTCATGCTCGCTTGCACAATACACAACATGCAAACCTCAACCCTATTTGTAGATGGGATTCTGTGGGGCATTACCTAAGGCTTATTTTTAATCACTTTTATTTATTGTTTATTATTTTCTTTTTCCCTTTTATTTTAAAAACATATTTTTTTAGTGCATTTTTTCTGCATTTATTTATTTTTTTGTTTTAAAAAATAAATTAAATTATTTATAAAAATACTCAAGAGCACCAAAAATTTGTTTTGTTTGTTTTTAAAAACTATTAATCATGTTATAACATGGCAAATATGTTTTTATTTGAAGTGAAAACACAAACAAAGCAAAATAAAAATAAACGATAAAATCCAAAACTAAAATTATCCCAAATCGCTCCTAAATATTGGTAGATGAGGGAAGTTAACGCATTGGCAAAATTGTTCTCTTGCATAGTAATATGTCTCCTACATTCCTTACATAGTGTTTATCCTCTTGAAGACGATACAGAAGGTTTTTCTTGGTTGTTGAACAGAAGCTTGATCTTGTGGAAGGCCAAATATACTCTGTTTCATGGCTCACACCATTTTGCGGCAGCACTGATTTCTTATACTTACAAAGTAGGGGACCGTCTTCAGAATGGATTCGGTTACCAGCCACAGAACACAAGAAATATGAGTAAGCTACTCTAGCATTGCTCCCTAAAGGCTTTTTTGGGATCAATTTATTTTTTGTTTTTATTTTTTTATTCTCCTTTGTTTTTAGGATACATGATTGTTTAGTGTATTTTTTACATGGTTTTGAAAGCACTAAAAATAACTTTTAGGTGTTTTGAGTGTTTTTAAAAACAACCATATTTTAGTCAAATAGCTACACATTCTGTTTCAAATCAAAATATATACAAAAATAAAAATAAAATAAAATACAAAAGTGATCTCAAATGGCTTCTAATTGTCTCAAATGATTTAACTCCATAGTGTGTATTTGTGGCAGTTCTTTTTTTATCCCTCGGAAATCAGTGTTGCTATCAAATTTGGGTGAGGTGCCCCTAGCCAGGTGGGTGCCTAGTAGGTTGCTTATTTAATCTCATTAAACTTTTTTATGTAAATTTACATACATACCCCACAATTCTTATGTATTCATATATCTAACACCCAAAGCTTGTTATCTACGCTTATACCACCTTAGTGCCATAAATCTATGCATGAAAAGGTATATTTTACTTTTAAAAAAAGATAACAATACTGGTGTTTTTGATGTGATAAGGATTTGAGTGGTATACATGTAAATATGAATGTTTAGCCATTAGTTATGCAAATACATATAAATTGTGTGATATGTATGTAAAAGCTCGTTCTTTGTTTTCTGTAGTTCTTGATGTTGCTGTTGTTTTTTTCAGTGAATTTGATATATCAGCCGTTGTTGTGTATGTGGGGGAAGCCTATTTTACTGCTCGTCAGAGAAAACAGTGGATTTTTGTGACGGATGGATCTGGATGGATCAATGAAGATGAACATGATGGTCTCCTAGCTATTAGTTTTTGCTCACCCATTTCTGGCAGTGATTCACTTGAACAGATCAACCAATGTCTTTCAGGAAGCACTGTATGTAAATCTATCTACGAGAGGAAAATAAGTTTTCCAATTATTTTTTCTATAAATGTTCCAGTATAATTGAGGATTTCTAGTAGTTTTTCATATTTTGTACAACAAATTATCGAAATATTGAAGTTATAGTAACTTAAAATATGGGGGTAGAAAGATGACCTGACATGCCAATCTGACTTGAATTTGACTAAAAAAATATGGGATTGGGTTGATCAGAATAATTTTTTGGGTTAGTTTCGGATTGGGATCTTAACCCGTTTAAATTTTTGGTCTGGTTTGGATTGACCTGCCAAACTAAAATTGACTCAAAACTAAACCGTTAATCTGAAACAGACTAGAAATTAACCTGCAAACCCCGGAGTTTACTTGAGATTAACTCGGAAGCAACCCAAATTTGACATGAATAGTTATTATGTTTTATGTTAAATGGGTTATGCGTTTCAATTTTGGGTTAGCGGATTGAAGATGGGTTAGGGATGGGTTGGACTTTATGATATTTTTAATATTCGGGTCAGGTTCTGCTCAAGTAGAGTCAATTTTTGGTTCAAAGTTGCTCCAAACAGCTTAGTTTCTACAAAAATATGTGGTATAATTTAATGTTTCTCTCAACAGGTTGGCTTCTATAATCTTATCAAGCGACCAAGGGACCGAAATAATCATTTATGGGTAGCTGAGGCAACGGAGAATTCTATATATTCCATTAGCCACAATATACCTTGTGGTTCGCATCTCAAAGGATCTGCAGATTTGGCGTTGAAATGGGCAAATACTTCTCCTTTGGTGAGAAAATAACTACAGAAAACTA